TCTGATGACTGAGTAATATTCCATTGTATATATGGACCACATCTTCTTTATCCATTCGTCTGTTGAAGGGCATCTTGGCTCTTTCCACAGTTTGGCTATTGCGGACATTGCTGCTATGAACATTGGGGTGTATATGGCCCTTCTTTTCACTACATCTGTGCCTTTGGGGTAAATACCCAGTAGTGCAATTGCTGGGTCATAGGGTAGCTCTATTTTTAATCTTTTGAGGCAGCTCCACACTGTTTTCCAAAGTGGCTGTACCAACTTGCATTCCCACCAACAGTGTAAGAGGGTTCCCCTTTCTCCTGTGGAACTTTCTAAAAATGAACATGTCCATGTGCCTCCCAGAGAGGTTTTGATTTCTTTGGTTTGGATTTTTAAAATTTTAAGAGTGATGCTTATGCATAACAAGGGGTGAGAACCATAAAGGACTAAGTGAATTGCTACCTTTGCAGGTAGATTCTTTAATGAATACTGTTTGTTTCACCTAAGGTTTTGATACATTTTAAATATTAAAGAAGTAATGTTTCTTGGAGTCCTGAAGTTGGCTGTACTATGTTGTTGTATATGTGTGGAGCCATGTGTTTTGAATACATGCTGAATGTAGGATTAACATGCTCTTACAAAATGGAAAACTTAATAAATACATGTGCTTGAATAAAAAGCATATCTTATCTTTCTAAAGAGGTAGGCAAAGAAGTGACAACAAAAGGAGTGCAGGGGCAAAAATCACATTAAAAATGAGTTTGAATTCTTTTTTTGTTTGTTTCTTTTCTTTCTTTTTAAATGGTTGATAGGTGATAGTAAACCTTGTTCACTTGACTTACTACCCTACCCAGATGGAATAATTATAACCATAACAGATGAAGAAATCTCACAGATTTCTTTTTCTGGAAGTGTGATAGACTACATTTTCTGGATGGCCCTTCCAACCCAGAACACCTAAAAATGCTACACAAAATGGAACAAATATCCTTTTGAATGTGTAGCTTAGCTCTCAGAAAAGTTAGACAAACTTCCACAGGTAAGTAAATAAAGGAAACTAGGGGTCAGATTGGTAAATTAACCCTGACACTGAACTTACATTTGAGGTTTTGACTGATCTTCCCTACTTAAAGGCTTGGATTTTAATGTCATTGTGGGAGAGAGGAGGTGATTTCTTGGACTTGTACAGAGTGGAGCTTTAGAAACTCAACTTTTCCTTCCCCTCTCCTCATGCCTCTTCCTCTAAGCCAGTACTGTTGAAATGTCCATCAAGAGGTTGTCTTGGGCTCGGCTAGAGGTAATCACATGCTAAAATATGACAGTGGGATTATTTATGGGAAATCGGGAATGAAAGCAGGAAGTGTCAGGTGTTTCTCTTTCCTGGGAGCCCTTGCCCCCCGGTCCTGGAGCTGATTTTCTTTGGCCGTCCAAGTGACAGCTTGGGTGTGAGAGAACAAGATCTCAATAGGTGGGTGTAGGATACTTTAATTGGAAATTCTGTGTCCCCAAAGGGAACCAGTTTCTCTTGTAACAGCCCCGTAGACGTAGCTTTCAGGTTGTCCTGAGGGATGTCTAATTCCCGTGGATTGCATACAAGCACTGCTGCCTGGAAACACAGCTGGCATTCCACCTTTTTAAAGGTTCTCATTAAAGAAAGCTAGGCAGTTATCCCAATGTCAGATGTGTCCACAGAAACGGAGAAAGAATTCTCCTTATGTTATATTATATATTAAAATAGAAATGATTATAGCTGACATTCTTGTGACATTTCTGCTTTTAAAGAAAATGCTTCTTAAATGTCACCATTAAATATGAAGACTGATATAGGATTCTGTTAAATACATTTTGTCAATGAAATTCCTTTCTATTCCTAATTTTCTAAGTGTTTTTTTTTTTTAATAAAAAATAGGTGTGAATCTTACTGGATATCATATACATAAAACCAGTATTTTAAATCCTTTAATCTATTTGTGTTTTAAATTATATTAGTAGATTTTCTAATGTTAAAGCAATCTTTCTGGAATAACTCTAAAGTGTTTTGAATTGCATATATCTGTAGATTGTGTTTGCTAAAATTCTTGGAGATTTATATGTATTTCTAAGTTAATAGGTAAAATTGATTATAATTTTATATTCTCTTATTAGTCTGAATATCAAGGTTTTACTGACCTTTGAAAAGAAATTGCAGAATGTTGTTTTTCACCACCCTCTGCTGGAAAAGTTTAGTAGAACTTACCATGTTTTTTTCTTTAAAATATTTTGTTTATTTATTTGATAGAGAGAAAACCCAAGTAGGGTGAGGGGCTGAAGAAGAGGGACAAGCAGGCTCCCCACTGAGCAGGGAGCCTGATGGTGGGCTCAGTCCCAGGACCCTGGGATCATGACCTGGGCCGGAGGCAGACGCTTAACCGACTGAGCCACTCAGGCACCCCTAGAACTTGTGATGTAAAATTATCATGAGTCCACTGTGTGTGTGTGTGTGTGTGTGTGTGTCTGCACGTGCCCACGTGATAAGGAGTAGTATGTTAATTACTGATTCAATCACTTTAATGATTATGTCTGTTTAGTGTTACAGTTTGTTTGAAATCAGTTTTCATAAGATATTTTTCTAGGAAATGTTTCATTTCATCTAAGTTTCAAATTATTAGCATAGAATTGTTCTTGTAATTTTTTTTTTAAATTTTATCTATTTGACAGAGACACAGTGAGAGAGGAAACACAAGCCAAGGGAGTGGGAGAGGGAGAAGCAGGCTTCCAGCAGAGCAGGGAGCCTGATGTGGGGCTTGATCCCGGGGCCCTGGGACCGTGACCTGAGCTGAAGGCAGACGCCTAATGACTGAGCCACCCAGGCGCCCCTTGTGCTTATAATTTTAAATCTCTGCTATATCTGTAGTTATATCCTTCTTTCATTCTGAATATTGTTTATTCCTTTTCTTTTGATCAATCTTGAGAGTTTATCATTTTAAAAGGACCAAATATTTTGCTTTGTTTATCTTCTTCATATATTACTCATTCATTCACTGACTCATTAAAAAATATTTACTGAGAGATGAGTTTATGTCAGATACTTCTCTTGATCCTAGACATAGAGCAGTAACAAAACAGATAAAAATCACTGCACTTGGGGGAGCTCACAGTCTTACGGAGAAGACAAGACATAACAGAAATGACATACACTGCATGTCAGATGGAAAACAAGAAAGCAAAGGAGGACACAATTTAGGGTGGCAGGGAGAGTGTCTAGAGCCATGAGGGTTACAGTACAGGGGATGAAGGATGAGAGAATTTGAGTGTGTATAACTAAATTAGAGCAAAGGACCTAACAAGATTTAGCCTGATGATAGTGATGAGAATTCGAGTGGAAAGACTCCATGGAAACAGTGAAAATAGCATGACACATTGGGAGAAGTTATGTATATGTTGTTTTATAATATGTATAATAATATGTACATATTTATTACAGTATATATTTGGAGGAAAGACGTCCATCTTTCCTCAGGGTGAGGTTCTAGTTTTCTCTTTAGAGATGGTTTTGCAGATGGGACACTATAAATTTCCATTCTATTCCCATTGTAGTATATGCCTAGTACATTGAACAAATGGAAAGTGTGGTGGTATTTGCCCATGAAAAATTCTCATAAACAGGGACAAATATAGTGCCAAAGAAAATATTTAGAATTTCATTATTAACTAAAAGGGATTTTTAAAATCTGAACTAGAAAAATATTAAAACTGAGGTTAAGCAAGCTTTTGCTTATACTTAAGTACTGTTTTCTAAGGGTTATGGAAACTACTGACAAGAACTTTGTGTTTCTCCTTTTTTTCCTGTACTCTTTCAGGCCAGATGGAGACTATGCATCTTCACTTAATGGCGGAAATGTTAAAGCCATGGAAGGAAATTCAACAGGACACTTACCAAAATTCTGCCATGAGTGTGGGACTAAATACCCTGTAGAATGGGCAAAGTTTTGCTGTGAATGTGGCATTCGAAGAATGGTTCTGTGAATAGAGCCCAAAAGAAAAAGCTAAGTCCAGAATTTTATGACTGTTGCAGCAGCTTGGACAGCTAGAGCACTTCCTTTAGTGATTTTGTGCTAAAATTATTCAAAATACTTTTTTCAGCAATTTTTGAAGCATAATTCTTTGGCTGTGTAATGTGTGTGTGTATATAAATGTGTACATATACTGTATATAATAAATACCTGATACCCCAGACTGTGCCATTTATGGAAATACTCATCTGTCAGAAAATAATTTCAAGTGGAATCATTAATGTTTCTGTTGTTATTGCACATTAAGCATACCTTCACAAAATCAAATGCTAGTGCTCAGCCCTTCAAGCTTTAGGATGATCATTACTTTGAGCAAAAAATCAGAACAAACATTTTTATTATCGGTGCCTATTTTCACATAGTATAGGATGGGATGCTTGGAATTTTGGAAACGAAGAGAGTATTTTCAGTTACAGTTATGTAAGGTCATTTTCCTGTAGAGCTCTTTAACAATTAATTTTATAAATATTAAAAAAAGAAAGGAATTATCCCATATTGGTCTATGATGTCCTTTACTTGGTATATCATTAATTATATAATTTAGAGATCTTTATTCATTCCTCAAAATATAATTATGCAGTTTCCTTTTCAGAGACACAAGACTGAAAAATACAAATGTATTTTATTCCAGTTATAACTGAAGTTTTTTTTTTTAACCTCTGTGTGTTTAGTTGAATGTATATTCTTTCTATTTCTGTGTCTCCACCTTTCACTTTTTTCTTTTTCATAACCTCATGTCTGAGGAGTTTTAATTTACTACTTCCTTATTTTTGCAAAGTTTGAAAATAATTATTTAATATAAGAGGCACAAAATTCCTTGCAAAATTCTACGTGTTTATTTCTGTGTCTGAATTTAGAAAAAATTATTTTAATGGATTTTAAAATAAACCACCTCACCCTAATAAATAATTTGGATAATTAATAATTACTGCAGGGAATGCAGGTAAAAAGTATTTTAATTTTTTAATTTTAATTTCCCTTGAAGTATAGTTCAATATAGCGGTGAGTTGGTTAAGAGACTAATGTTTCCTCTTATATTTTCTTTTTAGTGTTTAATACTGAAACACCATTCACATCACAGTAAAAAAAACCACTGAAAATGCACTGCTTTAATGCACAGCTGACTTATGTAATTAAACATTCACAAAAAATTATACTTTAACTTTGGCTAAAATATAGCTTTTAATCATTGTCACTTTCAATGTGACAGTATTTAGTAGTAGAATCTTTGATGGCCTGTGCAGCCAGGTTCAGTAACTCCTTAGTAATTTCTATTGAATGGAAAGAAAAGAGCTTTGATCTTATTATAAAGGGGTAAGCAAATCTTTTGTAGGCCATTTTTAGCTTCTCGTTTATGATTGTGATCAACTGTAAGGGTTAATGTAGAAATTTGTGGCTTTTAATTTTCTCTGAAATTTATTTACGCTTATACTTTATAATTAGTTTTTTTGTGGTTTTGTTTTGTTTTGTTTTTTCATTCGGGCGGGGGATATAAACTTTGAGGTAATGGGAATTGTCGTTTTATTTACCTTATAGTTTCTTTCCTGACTTTTCATTAACTTTTTAAAATCTGGTTGTCTTTATTCAGTCATATTGGTCTAAAAAAGGAATCCATTAGCTAGAATAAGCTGTAATTAATTTAGGAGAATAATGTACATATTAGATTTTCATTTCAATAATATATGTTACTCTGTCCTGTTATAAATCATATGAAGAACTTTAAACTTTGTTTTCCCTGGAACTCAGCATTATTTTTCTTTTTCCAAGTTTTTTTTTTTTTTTTTTTAAGACCACATAATTTTTGCCCAAGGAAGGGGTAGGTAAATGAACTTAAATGCAGTGGCACATGTTTGTTCCTCACAGAATTTTGCAGTAGCCAGTAGATGTTAATAATGTACTACATGAAAAATGAGTTGGTAAAAAATCATCCAATTCTAGAACCCAGAGATTATTATAAACAGTAAGTAGGTGAAGTATACTTATGAATTATGAAACATGTTGTGACAATGTATTTAAATGCATTTTTGTATTACTTACATATATTATTCTCACATTGATTTGTTGTGCAATAGTTCAGTTTATAAGAAATTTTCCTAGATCTATGCATCATTTACTTTATTTTTATTTATTTTCACAAGTATTTGCTAGTGTGGTAGACTAAAATAAATGATTGTAAGCTTAAATTAAAAATGTAAAAATTGCTTATATATTATTCTGAAAGTCATTAGCTTGAATAAGTAAGATTATTATGGTTGCTGTTGTCTCTTGTTCACTGTTTTTTATTACAAATACTGTCTTCATTTCTGAACCAATTCAATAAAGACATATAGCAAAAAAAATTTTCAATTGGTCTTTATTGATGTCTTAGCTTTTAGCCACACATAGGTAATAGAAAGATAAAAGCACACTGAAATATGAAGAAAATATTCAAAGTTAAAATACAGATTTTTTAAATGAGATAATAGCTTTTCACTGGCAGGTTTTTTGTGCCATCAGCTTTTAAAGAGAGTGCTATTATTTTTTGAATTGAAGTGTTTTATGGCATCAAGTATTATAAATATGTTTCATTACAAGATTTCTAAGACATAGAAAAATTCTCTTTATGTCCAATAAAATATAGCAGTTGAAAACATGAGTGAAGTCAAGGTTGATAGGAAACATTGTGGATATTTCTAGTTAGGAAATATACAGTTTAATGGCAAATAGTATTGGTTTGTGATCAATACTTAGTGATTTAGACTATCATATTTAAAATTTTAAACAGTAGCTGTCTCTAGTAAAAATACAATCAAATTAGACATGTTTGGTTTGTACTCAATCTTCCCTGTTCTAGAGACGAATACTTTTACCATGAATAGAAGCTCAGGAAATGAAAAATAATAGAAGAGGTACATAACTACAAAGTTAGCAGAACTCTTGTGTCTTTATTTGCATTGCAGGTATATGTATTTTATATGGTGGATATATTTTTAGTACTAAGATAGGTTAACTTTTCTAACGGACCATATTATTGAATAGAGCAGTGGAAAAATCGTTAAAACCAAGTTAATGATAGCCACACTTATTTTCATTTAGAAAGTTTTCAGATTACTGTCAGGATACTCATAGATGATTTTGTCTGTCTTATAGGTAAACTGCTTTTTTTTGCCACTAGAGGGTGCTTTTAGATAATTTAATATTACCAGCTTTCCATTCTTATTTTAAAGGCCTCAGCAGTATAGGTATGAGATGTATATATACATGGCCTTACAGAGATTTATAAAGGATTGTTTTTGTTTATTTTGTTGTGATTTTAACAATTCATAGGTTGATTTTTTTTTTAAACATTTTATTTATTTGACAGAGACACAGCGAGAGAGGGAACACAAGCAGGGGGAGTGGGAGAGGGAGAAGCAGGCTTCCCGCAGAGCGGGGAGCCTGATGCAGGGCTTGATCCCAGGATCCTGGGATCATGACCTGAGCCGAAGGCAGAAGCTTAACGACTGAGCCACCCAGGTGCCCCTCATATGTTGATTTTTAAGAACTTTAGCTCGTTTTGGGTACCAGGGTGGTAGTAATTAATAGAAATGTTTAATACTTACTCTTCACAATATTTTGTTAGCAAATTTGTGCATCTCAAACATATTACTCAAATATTACCAGATATTCTTTGTACTGTTGCTTTAATATTTCATCTTAATTGTACAAGAGTTTTCATTATCTTTTTTCAATCTTTTAACCTAACTAATGATACCTAATATAGGAGAGTGACATCTACTTATTTATTTTTTATTATTTTTTAAGTTTTTATTTTAATTCCAGTTAACATACAATGTTATATTAGTTTCAGGTGTACAATACAGGGAGGGATTGAACACGTCTATACATCACCTGGTGCTCATCACAAGTGCCCTTCTTAATTCTCATCACTTGTTTCACCCATTACCCGCCCCCCCACACCTCCCCTCTGGAGCATCAATTCTTTATAGTTAAGAGTCTGTTTCTTGGGGCGCCTGGGTGGCTCAGTCGGTTCAGCGGCCTGGGTGGCTTATTAGTTAAGCCTCGGCCTTCGGCTTGGGTCAGGATCCCAGAGTCCTGGGATCGAGGCCCGCGTCGGGCTCCCTGCTCAGCAGAGAGCCTGCTTCTCCCTCTCTGCCTGCCGCTCTGCCTACTTGTGCTCTCTATCTCTCTGTCAAATAAATAAAATAAAATCTTTAAAAAAAAAAAAAGTCTGTTTCTTGATTGGTCTTTCTCTCTCTTTTTTTCCCCTTTGTTCATTTGTTTTATTTCTTAAATTCCACATATGAGCAAAATCCTATGGTACTTGTCTTTCTCTGATTGACTTACTTTGCTGATCATTATACTCCATCCATGTCGTTGCAAATAGAAAGACTGAGGGTGACCTCTGTTTAGATTAAGAGCTAAGTAAGTTGTTAGACCAAACAAAACTAAACTTTAACTTATACTTACTTTAAACTTTAAAACGTTATACTTACAAATATTTAAAAAAAAACTTTACATATTCTTCATTCTCTGATATACTAGGGATTGAGAGCAAATAAGTAAGATGTGATTAAGTCCTTACGCTATAAACCTGATGGAACTTGTTTGGAGAAGCTGACATACATACAGACAACTACAGCTTAGGACAAAAAGGAGGATTCATTTTCATGAAATGTTATTATAAAGTACCAACAAAATACTGCAGAAATGTTGAAGATAGAGCTTCTCATCACCACGAGTTACACAGCTGACCATTTCTTGCCTTTTTTCTTTTCTTCCCTATCCCAATGCTCAGGAGGTGGCCTGGTAGAATGGGACCAAGAGCTGCCCTTTCGCCACCTTTCCCGGGGAAAAGGCAGGTGACAGTGGAAAGGATGTGTGTGCAGTGGGGTCCGTTGGAATGTAAAGTGTGGACTACTGGGGACTGTCCTGAGGACCGGGGAAAAATGATGCTGAGCAAAAATTATTAATTCCAACTGTTCATCTCACCTCATGTAACTCTCCACTTTCATTGTCCTTTTTTCTCTGCTCCAACACTTGTTTCTATGCCTATTTTGAATCGCACTGATAAGGTTGGAGATTGCCAATAGTTCTGAGTAGTGGCGAGTATGCTTAACAATGAAATGCTGGTTTTCATTCATCAAATCAACAATCTTAAATTACAATAAAACCGAAAACTTCATGGTGCACCAGGATGAATACCCTTATCCACTAATGGTGGAAATAAAAATTGATAATACTTTTTGAAAAGTTGACTAATTTTATCTTTTTTAAAAGCCTTTAAAATAGTCATGCCTTATAACCTAGTAATTTTGTTTCCAAGACACATACTGATTCTTGAAGTAATCTGAAGTACAGAAAAATACTTAGGCAGACTGTGTTTAATAGTACTATTATTTGTTGTGACCAAAATTAAACCATTTAGCCAACCTATAAACACAGAGAACACACTGATAGTTGCCAGTAGGGAGAGGAGTGGGGAATTGGGCAAAATGG